TATGGATGGCTCTGGGTAGGGCCGTCGAGATATAATCAACTTTCGTGATTGTATCCAGATGGGTGGTCCAGTCATTTCAAATCTAACTAGAAGCACATTAGGGCACCCGCGGAAAATGGTTCTCTGAGAAGGGTACCCACTGCCTATTCTTGCATAATCCCTAACCTTAGACGGAATGCTGTCTTCATCACTTTCCATCTGCTCTTCTTTTCTCCTCTACAGTGGAAGCACAAATACGGCTTTGTGATTGGTGCGCCCCTGGAGCCCGGCAACACTTATCGCTTTCGTGTGAGAGCGGTCTCTGTGGAGACGGGAGTGGATGTAATTCCGCCATCCGATTGGTCTGATCCCGTTAGCACGCATCACATCAGCAATGCGGCACCACCGAGAATCACATCCGTCCAACCCTATGTAATCGTTCTCCTCTGTTCTGTGTTTATCTACTGCTTCTAGCTCTAGTCTGCATTCCAGGTTAACCCTTCATTCTTTCAGCATGATGGTCGATTTAATGTGACATGGGAGTACGATGGTGATGTTGGTAATCAGTCCACCGACACAGAGTCCTTCAAGCCGGACTTTTTCCTTGTTCTCACGCGTCCAGTATTGCGCTCGCTCTCTCAGCCATCGTCATCGGGGCTAACTTCAGTGAATGGCGACGCAGAGGATGTGGAGAAGGGAAGTAGCAGTGAGGTGGCGGTCAAAAACGATGCCACTTTGCACTACGGCCGATATCGGGCGACTCAGGTCAATGGATCGGACGCGAGAGTGAGAAATGACATATTTGGTCATTTTAATCCCGTCTCATACTATTCATCCATCTTTCCTTCTTCTATACTCTTTGATCTCTGGCGTTGACACTCACCAAATCAATAAGGGTCTTGAAAATGGTCAATGTTTGCATTTCTTTCTTTCACATTGAACCGATAGGAGGCCTTCATCTACAACCTCAACGCATCCATCAGCTATCAACTGGTTGTCTACGGTGTAAAGTATGAAAATGGCGCTCGTCGAATCACCCGATTTTCAGAAGCCAAATTTGCCACCCTGCCAGAGGTAAAGCTAGCTCTCATCTCTCGCTTCTTGCCACTCCTTTTTGTTAATGTCAACTTAGTTGGTTGTTGGCTGCATCAGGTGTTACTAATTTGTTGTCATTAGCATAGTCTATTGTGAAAAATTCTGCGAGTCATCCATGTTTCCGCTTTAAAAGTGCTCATGTAGTCGCTAAACTCCTCCAATCTGTTCTCCAGACACATGTCACTTAAGTTCACATGTAAGCATCTGCATTCCCTCCTTTCCTTCTTAGGTGCCCGGCTTTGGAACATTCAGCTTAATTCGTGCGGTAACCGAGAACAAGCCGATATTCATTGGACTGGGTGCTTTAGCCATTATCATCTTCATCGTCGTGTTGGTGCTCGTCATCATGTGTATTGTTAGGCAACGCAAGTATCGCCGAAGACGACGCGTCAAGCACAGTAAGTGGAGAGATGTGCACATTGGGTAAAAGCTGAGAGGTTGACAGGCAGGCAGACGGAAAGGCAGTCAAGATAACTCATTCTATTCCTTCCCTTTCAGATGGTTTCCTCACCGGCCACAATGACTCCGAGAAACATCAGTCCCAATCTCAACAACACCAGCAGTATTCGCAGCAACCGAACCAACAGTCCTCCAATGATCTGCGAACCGCCTCTCCCTCGGTTAAGGCTGCACAAGCCGCTCAGGCGCAAGGCCAAGCTATGCTCATGGGCACCCTAATGCGGCAATCAAATTTCTCCGAGCCACCTAGCCAGTCACAGCTACAGCAGTTCACCCAACAACAAGCCGCTTACATGGGCTCTGTTATGCACTTGGGTTATTACGGCAATCATCACACGCAACATCACCATCAATCACATCATTCCTTACTACTTCCAGCCACGCCTGCGCCTGGAATGATGGGGAGTCCCATGTTTCATAGTGGCACACTCCCACCTGGAATGCGGAGTGGTGGGATGATGCAGCAGCAGCAAACACATCATCACCTCCAGTCACCTCCACCACCACCGCCAGCCCAGTTGGGAGGCTTTGGAAGTCAGCAGGTGCTAAATCAGATGGATGGAGTGGAACAGGCAACACTTATGCGAGACTATTATCAGCAACAGCAACAACAACAGCAGTTGTATCAGCAGCATCTGTTGAACCAACAACAAGGTCAGCAGGCGTCATTTATGGTAGGTGGAGTGCATGTATGGCAGGGTAGAGGGGTATGTGCATCTTTCTCTCCTAGCTGTTTCGATACGTGTTGCCTTCCCTTTTTTAGCAGTACACAGCAAATAACCCAGCTGCTTTTCTGCCGTCACAACAACAGCAACAACAGATGATGGATAGTCTGTCGTCAAGACAGCATAGTCAGGGTTATCCCTATGGCGGTAGCATTCACTCCGGCACCTCACTGAAACGTGATCCCAATGGATCTCTACATGAAGATTGTAAGTCTACTTATTTAACCACCAGTAGTAGATACGTCCCACATGAGCTGCTCAAATCAACTCAACAATTCTTCTCTTTGTTTGTTTGTTTTCTATTTGGACAACTTTTTTCCTCTCCTTGCTACAGCAACATTACTGGCTCGAAGTCCGATGAGTCCGCATCCACCGTCAATGCTGGGGGACCAGATTCCACCCCCTGGCTACTTCCAGACGCCCATGTATGCCCAACAGCATCCACTCATGTCACCACCACCGCCTCCGCCGCCGGTGCAAATGTCTGGAGCTGCCTACTACCCCGGACAGCCTCAAGCTGATCCTGGCCAAATGAGGTTCGTCCATCTCTACCTCCCTCCCATGAATGTGGAACACTATTGTTACTTCTTTTTTTCTTGGCAAAAATTAGCCTGCACAACATGGGACACCACACAGATGGTGAATCCATCTACTCCTACTTCTCACAACAAGATGTCTGCCATCCTCAGCCACATGCTCTTCTGAATCCCTTGCCGGAGGAGAATCAGGTAATTAGTGTGTCTTCTGTTCTCTGTTCAGCATATATTAGCGCGTAGACCCCCTATAACCTTCTCTCCCCGATTCTAGATGAATCTTGGCTACACTGAGTCGGGAAGTCAAACAGCAGGACTGAATGGTACCGGTGGGACAGCAAGTCCTCCCGCTGGTGGCACGGTAGGTGGACACCGACACCACCGTAGACGTCGTAGAAAGCAGCAACAACAGCAATCGCAGTCGTCAGTGCAACAATTTGGAGGTGGTGGAGAGGGTGACGGATTCCAGGTGCTTTTGTCTTTTTCCGCCTCTCCTACTGCCAACCGCTGCTAACTGTTTAAGACACTTTCAACGCGATGTATGGTGTGCGTGTTTTTCAGTTCCCGGGTCACAATAGCGAGCAGATCGCCATGATGACAATGATGGAGGCTCAGGGGCGCATAGCACCAAGCGGGATGAATGGAACGACGCCACCATCTGCTGCAGGTCTGGAGCAGGCGGGGGGCAATGAAACTGTGAGTCAAATGGAAAATCCACGCTCTGGCAATCAGTCGTTTGATCGCAGCACACCGTCTTATGGAGGTTGGTTAACAGTCTTATTTACATTGCTGAGTGGTCCGACATCCACCACTTTCATCATTGGTCTCTTTCGCCCCCGCCTCATTTCAGCCTCACCTGGAGTAGGTGTGCGTTCGTCTCTTCCACCTCCCAGTCAGCCCCCGCCACCACCTCCCGCAATGATGATGATGCCCATACAAATGACCTCAACAGGTGGTCTTGACAGTGCCGGTGTGGCTATTGGTAACCCCAACGCGGCTAGCAGTAGCAGTCTGAGCCGTCGCGGTGGCGTTAGTGGAGTGCTAAGTGGCGCTCCACCTCGAATCCGTGACTACTCGGAGTACGGCATTCCCACTTCGACGCCGAACGCAGGCGGAATTGGCAGCCCACCCCACCCACAAGGCGTTGTGACTTTGACAACAGCAACGCCGCCTTCAGCAGTTGGTGGTGGTGGTGGTGTTAAACAGATTCCAGCCTCCCAGACGACGGGATTCAATACCAGCAACAGCAGTAACAACAAGTCCACTTCAAGCGGCGGCGGGAGTATGAGATATCGAGAGGGCCAGGCGTAGGGTGCCGTCATTTTTTGTCTGTTTGTTTAGTTGGTTGATTGTTTGTTTTAAATACTTGTCAACTCCTAGCAAATCTGTTCTTTCTCCACCCCTCTCTCCTCCCCTTGCCCACCTCGGCTCCTGCTCTCCCTCCTCCTCAGCCCTCCAAACACACGCATACACGCGAAGACTGTTTTTTTCAAAACGTCGCTTGCTATGTCACCCCTCCCTCCCTCCCTCTCTCCCTGCCTCCCTCACCCACCCTCCTTTACTCACTCATCCACACAGTCGGTCTCTGTTTTGTTTTCCCTTCCGCTATGCCTCCTCGCATTGCATGCTATGACACAAACACACACGTGACATGTGAAACGACTTATTGACGAAGTCGTGTGACTGATGATACGCTACTTATATACATACAAATCTTCTACACGAACATTATGATTATTAAATGTATTAGTGCAAATACTCAGTCAGCACTTCACTTGGTCGTCTTTTACTGATTTGCTAATCAGTAGAAGCGGTTTCATGAGTGTGGGATGAGGTATGGACTGGAGGATTAAGTGGGTGTGCAGTATTAGTAGATGCAGCAGGTTTTGCCTCGACTTGTCATTCGCCCCTTCCTCTTTTGGATTGTGTGGTGTCACGCATCACATTGTTTTAGTGCTTAAG